ATCAGAAAGGCAGCTGGTTTAGGGGCATGCACTCCAGACTGAGAAACAGGAAACCTTGGTATGGGACTTTCCTTTGCCTCTGACTAGATGGGGAAGGTCACTTCACCATCTGGGTCTATAAAATAAAGGGGTTGGGCTCTGATACCAAAAGCCTGGTAAACCTTAACACTCTGTGACTCTGTGAATCCATTGTCCTTTTTCTGTCCAGAGCTAGGATTATGGTATTTTACCTTTCTGAGTCATAAGAAAAGTGGGAGGGAAAAGCTGGAATCTGAATCCCTGCTCTCTCTCTGTGTCTCCTAGGATATCAGAAGCACTCTAATAAGGTAAGCAATATAGTTTCTCTCTCCTCTTTCCTGCATAAATATGCATACATGCAACACATGCCTAGTTACTGCCATACAAATATACAACATTCTCACATTAAAGACATAAATTCCCATGTAAATTTCCCATGTCCCCAATTGCATTCTCATGTACAGCCCTAGACGCACACCGCCGAGTAGCATTGCCCCAGTGTGGGCAGTGGAGTCCATCGTAGAGGAAGTATGTCTACCTGTGGGAACTGGCACCTCCATGCCTGATTAGAGGATGACTGGCTGAGTTTAGAGGCATCTTTAAGGAAGATAATTTGCAGACCCCGTCATTTCTGTGCCCCTAGATGTGAAACCAGAAAGTGCCGGAAACCAGAGGCTGTGTCCCCTGAGCTGGGCCAGAGGATTCGGGACTTCCCCCAGCAGGCCCTCCCACTACAGAGGGAGATGAAGATGTTTCTGGGTAAGAGGACTCCAGGTTTGCATGGAGCACAAGCAGGCATGAAGCCCAGGTTTAGGAATGGCCACTGTGCTCCACTGCCCAAGGTCATGTGCCTTTTGGCAAGGATTATTTCCTTCTGGTTCCTTGATTTCTTTATTTGCAGATTTTGATAAAATCTGTCTATCAGGTTGATGTGACAGTGAAGTAAGAAAACAGTGAAGATTTCTCGGAAAAACTTTGAAAAATAATTAAACAAATCTGATCAGTTGGCATTTAAGCAATATAAAAGATAATCATTAACAACATCTGCCATTCTCAATAATAAAAAATCCACAGCCGCATTTGCAATATGTGATAAGTTTTTGATGATGGGCGTTGTTAATCAATAGCCAGCTACAGTATTTATCTCTATCCTGTGGTAGCCGACTCTGCCCTCCCTCCCCCTCGCTTTCCTTCTGTTGTTTGGCTCTCAGAGTTGAACCGTCCCTGCAGGGACTGCACCACCTCCCTTTTCCAGAACAGGGAGTGGTGGTAGGAAAGGACGAGGAGGGTTTGAAATGAGAGTCAGGAATGGAATGTGGCTCTTTGCCAACCCCACTGATCCCCTGGCTAACCACTAACTGTAACATCATGAATGAGGCCACCTCTTTCTAAATGACCCACCCACAAAAGTGTCACCCTAGAAGTTTCCCTGTAATTCGACTTCCTGTAAGTACTCCCAGTGGCCTGGCAGTGAAGGAAATTTTACCCTAATCAAAGACTGACCTTTGACTATCCTGAAAATTCTTTCCAAGCAGAACAAGAAATAAAGGAACACACTTATATATTCATTAAGCAGATGTTTCTTGGGCATTGACTATGTCCTGGGCTCTGTGGATACAGAGGTGAGCGAGGCCCACTCAGAACTAGGGCTGTGGGTCTCAAAGTGGGGCTCCTGGTGAGCAGCAGCAGCATCCCCTGGAACTTGTTAGAAATGCAAATTTTCATGCCCGCCCAGGAGCACCCAAATCTAAAACAGGTATATGTTAGCAAGTGATTCTGGTGCAAGCTCAAGCTTAGAACCACTGGCCTAGAGGATTCCAGCTTCCTTTTTTCTCTTTGTCCCTTCTTTCTTCTGGGTCTCAATTTTCTCATCACTAATGTTCTATGGTTTTGTGAGAATAATGAAATCTCATCCTGTTTTATTTCTTCTTTACAGAAAAACTCTGCTTTGAGTTGGATTATGAACCAGGTAAGCAGCCTGTATCAGGAACAGAGACAGCTAGGAGTCACTGAAAAGGAGAGACAATTTTGCAGGACACTACAAAATAATCATATGCATATATACACACATACATATATATATACACATATGTGTATGCATATCACATGTACGAATGTGCATGCATACATACATGTCTATATGTCACTGCCTTTTTAAGGCTCTCGGGAGAATTGTGGAGAAGACAGGCACACACACACCACATACATGACATGAAGCTCACTTCTGATCTGCACATGTTGAGCAGATATAGAAAGATTAAGTCAGAATGGGATAAGTTCTATCAGAGAAGTCTTCCCGGATGAGAGATAGTTTTTTCACTATGTTTGTTGTCCAGGCTGGAGTGCAATGGCTATTCACAGGTGCAATACCACTATTGGTCAGCATGGGAGTTTTAATCTGCTCTGTTTCTGACCTGGGTTGGTTCACCCCTCCTTAGGAAACCTGGTGGTCCCCTGCTCCCAAGAGGTCACCATATTGATGCTGAACTTAGTGCAGACACCTGATCGGCATAGGGAACTACAGCCCAGAACTCCTGGGCTCAAGGGATCCCCCAGCCTCAGCCTCTCCAGTAGCTAGGACTACAGGCATGCAGCACGGCACCACACTGGCTAGGGACAATTTGATCTGGGTTTAGAATCACATTTTTACAATTTTTAGGAACCCCTACTCCCTCCGAGATGTGATTTCATGGATGACTTTTAGAAGGAGGGCAGCCTGTGGGTGGGAGAGGAATGATCAGAGTGGACCCCTTCAAGGCCGCTCTTCCCAGTCTATCATCCAAATACCCTGGGGAGTCATGGAGTTGCTGGAAGAAGCTCTCTAACCCATGGACGTATCTAAATTTATGGGTTTTTATTAATTTATGGACACTGAAAGTAACATTATGCAGGGGTCTGCAGAAGTTTTTGGTGTTAAGAAGTGGTCCTCAGACTCTGATGGTTTTGGAATTACTGAGGCAGAGTGGATAACCCATGGGTGAGCCAGGGAGCCTGCAGGGATCAAAGACTGTGTAAATGAGTCACATGAGCCCTAGGAGGAAAGCAGGGGAGGAATCGTGAAGTTGATTCGGAGGGGAGATATGTCTCTGCCCTCTGAGACAGAGGCATGAGGAGGGGAGGATGAGATGTGTTAGTGAGCAGACACACACGGCTTTGGAAGCCAAACCAAAGCTTCCAGTTTGCAGTGAGCCAACCAGTTTGCAGTGAGTGGGACAGCTTTCCAGAGGACTGCACTGAACCAAACAAGAGCTGTTGCATCCTCTGGGGCAGGTTTCTCACATGTTAACATGTGCATGCATCACCTGGGCATCTTGCCAAGATGCAGATCCTGGGAGACTGCATTTCTAGCAAGTTTGCAGGTGATGCCCATGCTGCTGGCCCACATAGGCATTATGCGTGCTATTGGTTATAACACTAAAAGATGGGTGCCAAGGGGAGTTTCTAGGCTTTCCTTGAAGGTAACAGCATGTCTGCTGATATCTGTGTCCTTTTTGGTTTTCCCCACAGCTCATATCTCTCTAGACCACCAGACTTCCCACCCCAAGCTCCTCTTGTCTGAGGACTACCGGCGGGCTCGGTTCTCCTACAAATGGCAGAACTCACCAGACAGCTCCCAGCGTTTTGACCGGGCCACCTGTGTCCTGGCCCATCGGGGCTTCTCAGGGGGGAGACACACATGGGTGGTGGATGTAGACTTGGCCCACGGGGGCAGCTGCACCCTGGGTGTGGTGAGTGAGGACGTGCGGCGGAAGGGGGAGCTTCGGCTGCGGCCAGAGGAGGGGGTGTGGGCAGTGAGGCTGGCTTGGGGCTTTGTCTCAGCTCTGGGCTCCTTCCCCACACGGCTGGCCCTGGAGGAGCATCCCCGGCAGGTGCGAGTGTCTCTTGACTATGAGGTTGGCTGGGTGACCTTTGCCAATGCTGTCACTCATGAGCCCATTTACACGTTCACTGCCTCCTTCACCCGGAAGGTCTTTCCCTTCTTTGGGCTGTGGGGCCGAGGGTCCAGTTTCTCCCTGAGCTCCTGAGAGGGTGCAGTTACCCTCCTCTATGTACAGGACTCAAATCAAGTACCATGTGCACTTGACCTCTGTCTGGGTCACATGGAATACTTGGAATAGATATGAGTGCTTTAGATGATGTGATAGGTCAGTAAGGGACAAGGTGGATGACCTTCGACCCACTGATCAAGCCCTTTCCCCAATGCCCAGTGGATGGTCAGGGTACCTGGGGACCCAGGCTGCTGCCAGCTCTCTTCACCACCATCTCTACCAGGTGCAGAAGTAGCTGTGTAGAGGAAAGACTACTGGATTTGGAGCCAGAAGACCTGGGTTCTAGACCCAGCCTTGTATGATTTTAAGCAAGGCACCTCACTTCTCTTCATCTCATTTTCTTTCAAAAATATTAGAGTTCATTTACTCATATCCTCAAGAAACATGTATTGTCTGCTAACTATGAACCAGACAGTGTGTTAGCCTCTGGTGATTTGAAAATAAAAAGAATAAAACCTTGTTCTGTATCTGAAGAAGCTTGTGGGATGAGACAGAGACGTAAAGAGGAAACTACAGCAGGTTGTGATGGGTGACGTGATAGGGGCCAGACCTGGATGTTACATGTTACAGAGCTCAGAGGAGGGCACAACCTGGAGGGAGAGGGGAGTCGGGGATGGCCTTCTGAGAGGGGTGGGCCTAAGGATGTGTGTGGTGAATAGG